TTTTACCCAAGGGCTATCCATATTTACTTACTGAGTTTATCTCATAGTTTTCCTTGTCCACCATTTCAGGAAGTGAAACCGAGGACGGGGAAACCGAGGGGAGTGACGAATTAGAAGGCTAGCCATTCAATTGGGGTATAAGTTTTAGATTTTATCATCCTTTTGTAAGGTTGATTTTATTCATGAGATTGTGATTTGGATAAGTTCCGAGCTTTGTGCACTTGTGGGACCCGTCTCACGAGTGCACGGCGTCTGCCACGTCCCTGGATTTGGGTTCTGGGGCGTGACAAGATTTGAGAAAGAAGATGTTGATGTTGACTCAATGTACTCCAAGAGGGGGGGTGAATTGGAGTTCCAAAAATTCTTCCCTTTTTGCAACCACAAAACCAAAATTAAAGAAAATAGAGAAGAAGAGCTTGCTCAATGATTTATAGAGGTTCGGTCCAACCACTTGGAGCCTAATCCTCTACCTTGGCTTCACTCACCAAAGATTTCCTTTACACTCTCCACTAACAACAACAAGGGTGGGTTAAAGGAGCCACTCAATCCTTTTACAACAAGATGAGTATTTCTCTCAAATCTCACCCCTTTACAAGATAAACCCAAACAATCCTCTCTACAAATCACTCTTGAAGGAATAGTCACACCCCCAAGATTACTCACAAATAGAATAAGAAGAGGATTACAAATAAAGATCTCTCAAAGATCAAAATCTCAAGTTAAAACACAAGTTGATAGGTAAAGATATTCAATATAATGCTCTTTAAACTTATTCATATTTGTTACCAACCATATTTATAGCTCCTTGCTCGAAAATAGCCGTTTCTAGCCGTTGGGGGTCATTAAATACTCTGTACGATGCATGGCTCGAGTTGCAGAACTGTCAGAAGAGCCGGCTTAACTTCCTAGAGCCGGCTCTATACAGTCGGCTCACCGTTTTTGTAGCCAGCTTTGCGGGATTCCTGCACTTTCTGTTCCTCGAGAGCCGGCTACAAGACTTTGAGCCGGCTTTGGAACTCCGACTTTAAATACATTAAATATTCTTCAAAAGAGTTGACCGTTGTGCATTAAATGCGCCCTCATAGCTGGCTATAAAGTTGGAGCCGGCTCTGCTTTCATTTTCCGCTCGCACCAACACGGCAATTGAATTTTTGGCCCGTAGAGTTGACTCAACAAAATCTGCAGTCGGCTCTCTGCACTTTTAAATTATTGAGCCGGTTGCAATTTTCTTAAGTTGACTCTTTGCACATTTTTACCCTTTGAACCCTTTTTAATGCAATCTCATTTTGCTTACTTTGCAATATATTGGCAATTTAACTACACACTTAAATAAATCAATTAGTCACTCAAATGTGTTTTGTAATCATCAAAATCATAGGTACAACAGTTGAGGAAGAAGAGGAGGGTAAAACTATAATTTTAAATGAATTAGATAATTATATTTTGACACATCATTTATTTATCCATATTGTTAAGCTGAATATTACATGCAGAATATGTGTTTCCAGTAAAGAGTCGACTCTAAAAATTGATATTTGACTCTTGAGGCCCTTAGAGTCGACTCTAATAGGTAAAGATTTGCCTCCCAAATTTTAGAGAGTCGAGAAGTTCTGGATGTAGGTTAGAATCGACTCTTAATGAGAAAAAAATCCACTCTCATTTTTAATAGTCGACTCTTAAGCAAAAAATATGTTATATTTATATGTGAAATACTTTTGTAAATTGAAAAAGATGTCCACATTATTTTTTTTAGATAAATTAGAGAGTTAAATCATTTAAATAAAGAGTAAATCATGTAATTATATTAATTAATGTGTTAAATGTTAAATAATATTTAATAAAACCACAAAAATCAACTAATAATTTCAATTATAGAGATAAAAATAACTTTTTTTAGATATATGAATGACACAATGGGCAGGAAGGGTAATTTGAATTTTTAGCAATGAGATACATGTCGATGATCAATTATGCCTTTTAAAATTAAACCAACTTTTAGCAACGTGGAATATGTTGCTAATTGGGGGGAAACCTTTTAGCAACATAGTATATAATGTTGAAGGCATTATATATACTCCCCACCCCAATAGAGCTGACCAATGCTTTCATATTTCTCCTCCCATTCTCTCTTGCATGCTCTTTGCACCCGTCCTCCATTTCTCAGCCTTTTTTTTTTTTTTGCCATTTTTGCACAAATTGTATGCCCATATT